CATTTACCTTAAACGTCCCGTTTTGTTGCTGCTATTTCTTTATTTTCCCCTTATCTTAATGTTTTTGTTTCTTTCTTTGCAGCAGAAGAAAAGAAAGAAGAAAAGACAGAAAAGATGGACACCACTCCTCCTGCAGATGAAAAGAAAGGTACCAAAGCCTTTTTTTTTTTTTTTTTTTTTTTTTAAATCTCTCACACAGAAACAAACCGCAAAGTAAAGGTGATGAGATTTATTTTCTGGTGTCATATCATCCTCAGCAGATCTCTGCTGTCAGGTTTATACATGTCTGCTGTACAGTCATTTACCGTGTCTCCTCTCTCGCTCCTGCTGCAGAACTGAAGGAGGAGAAGGAGGCGCCAAAGCAGGAGGAGGCGACTAAACTGCAGAACGGAGACAGCGCCAAGGAGAGCGCCAAGGAGAGCGCCAAGGAAAGCACCAAGGAGAGCGCAGCATCAGCGGGCACCACCACCACCACCACCACCGCTGCTGCTGCTGCTGCTGCCACCACCGCTGCCGCCAGCGAGGAGAAGAAGAAAGCAAAGACCAGGTTCATGTTCAACATCGCTGATGGAGGATTCACAGGTACACACACACACACACACACACACACACACACACACACACACACACAGAGTGTAACGTCATGTTTTCATTTTGTCACTGACCTTCTCCTCTTTATTTCAGAGCTCCACTCTTTGTGGCAGAACGAGGAGCGCGCTGCCACAGTTACCAAGAAAACCAATGAGATCTGGCACCGTCGCCATGACTACTGGCTGCTGGCCGGCATCATACAGTATCCTTTTCCCACTTGAGTGACTGGCTTGAAGATCTAGATGGAGGGTGTAGCAGGGAATTGTTTGTCTTTGAATCTGTAGATCTATAGAGTAGTTGTTGCCCTTGACCGATACCTCCGCAGACACGGCTACGCCCGCTGGCAGGACATCCAGAACGACGTGAAGTTCGCCATCCTCAACGAGCCTTTTAAAGGGGAGATGAACCGAGGGAATTTCCTGGAGATCAAGAACAAGTTCCTCGCCAGAAGGTTCAAGGTACGAATCAAAAAGTATCCCAGATAACGGAGCCGCTCCGGTTTTAACGGCGGTCATGTGGTCGTGACTTTGTGCTAACGTGGAGCCTCGCTCTCCCTCCTCTAGTTGTTGGAGCAGGCGCTGGTGATCGAGGAGCAGCTGCGTCGCGCCGCCTACCTCAACATGTCGGAGGACCCCTCCCACCCCTCCATGGCCCTCAACACCCGCTTCAGTGAGGTGGAGTGTCTGGCCGAGTCCCACCAGCACCTCAGCAAAGAGTCCATGTCCGGGAACAAACCAGCCAACGCCGTCCTGCACAAAGGTAAAGATGGCGAAGGCTCCTTGTCGTCCATGTCCATGATCATTTAAATCTTCTGATGAATTGATCATTTTCTACTTTATGACTTTTATTTACTAGCTGCTGTTCGTTTATTACAACTTTTTAATCATTAATTAAATACTAATGTTTCTCCTTTAGTTTTTATGTCTTGCTAAATGTTTTGTAAAGAAGAAGAAAATAGCAAAAGTTATGTTTTATCACAACAGCTTCTGAGATCTGAATGTGAAAACCTGCAGCAGAGAGAAATGATTAATTAAAGGAAGGAAATAAAACTCTTCTGGGAAATAAAATAATCCTGAATTTAATATAAAGCATCATAAATCTGCTCTGAACTGTGCAAACACTCTACAGTGAGTGAGAGACTATAGTTCCTTATTGCCCTCTCTCTCTCTATGTTAGTGCTGAAGCAGCTGGAGGAGCTGCTGAGTGACATGAAGGCAGATGTCACCCGCCTCCCAGCAACCATCGCCCGGATACCGCCAGTTGCCGTGCGACTCCAGATGTCCGAGAGGAATATCCTGAGCCGGCTGGCGAGCCGAGGGCCCGAGACACAGACACAGGCACAGACACAACAGGTAACGCACACACACACACACACACACACACACACAGGGCGCAGCATGCAGGATATTAAAAGGTATAGTAAAAGTTTATTTATACAGTTGAATAGTAAATAAACAGACGACTTACAGGTCAAGCTTCAAGTCTGAGTCATCATTAATCACATTTCCTCATCACTAAGTTTCCCTGAATTTTTATTTCTTGTATATGAAGTTTAAGTGGTTCAGAAATGATGAAAAACAGACACAGTTCAGTTTCAGATGAAGCTTCAACAGCTTTGTTTCTTCTTTGTTGGATTGTTCAGAAAAGTTTAAAAGCAACAAGACGTTAACTTTTTCTCTGTTTGTTCCTCAGATGTCGCAGCAGTAGACTGAAACTCGGCTCTTTACCTCGAAAACCACCCCCTGCCTCACCTCGACATTCCTGATTGGTGCACAGCAGAATGACGGACAGCGCGCCCAAGCTTGAAACCACACCCAGTTCACTTCTCTTTCTCCCTGCCCCGCCCCCCCTCCCTCTCCCCAAACAGACTTTACAGAGTTTTTCTGGAGGATCCAATCCCTTCCCGACACCCACGTTTGAGGCTGTGGACAGAAAAGCTATTTTATTTTTTTTTTTCCTCCTTTTTTCAATTTCTGTATTAATATTATTGATATAATGTTATTATGATGGTTTTTTTTGGGACCTAAATAAAAAAAAAATGTAATAAAGAATTTGTTGGTTTGCTCAGTTGGGGGTAGGTGGGCTGTGGTCAAATACACATTGGAAGAAAAGTACAGGTTGATGCAGTTTTATTTTCAGATAAAGCCAGGCTTGTCAGTAGAAGTGAAACATGTTGGAGGACCCAAACCTCCATGAAACAGTGGTTTTGTGAAAGCGGAGTTTGTCTAATCGGTTACTTAAACCCTATAACTTTAATTTATTTATTAATTACGACTGAATTGTTCAATCGAAACTAAAATCTGGAGTTTGACCAAAACACCTTGGAGGTACCCTGTGGAGTTTTCAAAGCTCTAGTGTTTTCTGTTGTTTAGGGCGGCTGAGGCTCAGGAGGCAGAGCGAGTCGTCCACTAATCTGAAGGTCAGTGGTTCAATCCCCGGCTCCTCCGGTCCACATGTAGGGCAAGATCCTGAACCCCAAAACGTCCCCAATTTATCTCTGTGTGTGTTTGTCTTTATAAAAAGAGAAGAAAAAGGCACTGTATGATGTGAGTGAATGGGTGAATGTGGCTTGTTAGTGTAAAGTGCTTTGAATGGTCGATTAAGCGTGCTGCCGTTGTCGCGTTCTGTCTGAAAGCCCTACTGTCATTTTTGGTCACAGCAGGCGGCTGTTTTGAGAAATCACTGTAAAAAGCCACTGTCCACTTCCTGCAGGAGCAGCAGACAGACACAGTCAGAGAGCAGCTGGTGAACATAATGGAGCATTCAGCAGCTAAAGACTCAGATATTTCCCCCAGGAGCTGGTGGAGACCAAAAATAGAGCTAAAAGAGAGGGAACACTTGTGTATACTCCCCATACCTTAAGTTTTGAGATGGAGAAACTAACATAAAATGATCTTAACCATATTTTATTCTCTCCCAGCTTTAATTTAAACTGTAATATCTGACTCCATCATATAACATGTCAGTAAACATTAACATGTTTTTAAACACGTGTATAGGAACATTTGCAGGGTTTTTCTGATCAAAAAAAATTAGGGCACAAACACTTCACACATCTGTTGCAAACATTAATTTATTTGATCCTAGGAATCCCAGGCCATAATCAGAGTATCAGTGCCTCTCACTTTCACATGTCAAATAACATCCAGCAGGACTGAAGTAGCACTGATCCCGATTCCCACTAAATACAGTGGGTACAACACTCACCTTCAGTTTTAAATCTCTCTCTTCATAATATCTACAGTCTCGTGGCAAATAACCCACACTCCCCAACACTCAGAGGGTTTTCACTCAACCCTTTATACAGATGAACCACATTCAAGCAAAGTTGAGAACAAAGAAACAAGTTTCACATTCAAACCACAGAGAACACGAGTGGGGTTTGGTTCACGAGACGATACAAATGAAAACAGGACTGATGCAGCATCATAAACGTCACGGTGAGTAAAGAGGAGGCTGGACAGACAAACAGAGAAAAGACATGGAGACAGTTCCTGTGGTGTTTCAACAGGAAGTCGTCTTTGAACTCATCAGTAGCAGTTCCAATACTGACAGGCAGGGGGCAGCTTTCCTGTTAAATACTGTACGAGTACGACTCGGTCAGACAAGAGGCCGGAGAGGGAAACAACCAAAATCCATTAACCCAGGTTTTATAAGTGGATTAATATTAAAGTCTGATTATTGCAACCATCACCTTAAGACACACTATCTTACTAACTTTAATTACAGTAGCTTTCTTAACACTGATCATTTTTGGAAATTGTCAGATCATTCAGATCTTCACATTCATTAAAGGTGTCTAGGGGCTGCACGATCCTCCATGGCTCCACACACACTGTGTACATCAGTATTTCTACAACATAAATTTATAATGAGAAGTTTTCTTTCGTTTTCTTGCTACAGCTGTTGTGGGTCAACAAAGGTGAGAATTTTGCTACTGCATAGCCAGTGGTGATCCTCGTCTCTTAATTTACAGATGTCCTCTAAACACCTCTTGTGGAGACTATCGATAGATGCTACAATTTGCAGATGTTCCCTGAACGCCCCATATGCAGGCAATAGGTAGCGGCTGGCTACAGCACACAGTGGCAGGGGCCCCACTTAGGGGGGGGTTTGGGCCAGCAGCAGTGCACTGTATAGTGTCTTTATGGGGGGTTTAAGGGGATTTATAGTTGTCACTGCAAAACTTGCCAATATGGGGGGCCTTCGGGGGCCCCTTTTCCCCTTGTGGGCGGCAAGCATTTGCCTGGTTTGCCTCTCCCGACAGTGGCACAAAATAATGTGGCAATTACAAATGAGGCTTATGAGATTTCTGGGCCCTGGAACTGTTGTCTCCTCACCAGCAACACTCTTGTTTTAAAAGCCAAACAGCAAAAAAAAAAAGAAAAAGAAGTTTGTTGCTTAAAATA